GAACCGCTGACCTTAAGGTTCGCAGCCCGATTCGTAACCACTACGCTACCAGAGCTCCTTGTTTTATAGGGACCTTATTTCCATTCTCTGTCTCCATCTTCACATGACCACCTTTCTTCTGTGTCTCTGCACTCCTGCTGTTATAAGGACACCAGTCAGCCATCCTGAATTATGGTTCACCCTAATCTAGTATGGTAGCATGCTAACATAACTAATCCCATCTGAAAAGACCCTAATCCCAAATACAGCCATGGTCATAGGCACCTAGAATTAGGACTTCATCATATCTTTTGGGGAACACAATTCAGCCCATAACACATTCTAGGTTCAGGCACCTGTCTGAGTTACTTGCACAATACATTTTATGTGACCTCAAATAACTATGATCTCAGTACAACCATCACAACCATTTTCATGATGAAGAAACTGAGGATCCCAGGTAAGATGTTTTTTGCCCAGAGTCATTCTCCATTAAGGGCAACTCCACCAAAGATGCTTTCAATTCTGATTCAGTAACTGCTTCTTATTTACTTCAACCCATCCTGCCTTGTGTGTCTTTTTGTCTTTTCCCCACCTATTTGTCCTTTTCCAACCTTGCCAAAAATGTTTTAAACACTGAGTTGGGATGAGGACACTATGTCCTTCTCAATGGTGTGATAAATACTGATTTTGTACCACCCAGCTCTTATGTATAAAAAGGCATCCAAAACATCTGGAAGACGTTTTGAGAACCCACTGTCTGCTGGAGATGTGAACACGTGACCCTTCCTAGCTTCTAAATTCAATGCTGTCACATCTCCTGTCCTTTATCTGTTCTCTTTTCTCTGAATGTGGTTGTTTTTTGCAGCCAAAATCCATGAAGAAATTAACCAGGTGATTGGACCTCACCGGATACCAAGTGTGGATGACCGGGTCAAGATGCCCTACACAGATGCTGTGATCCATGAGATACAGAGACTGACAGACATCGTGCCTATGGGTGTACCCCACAACGTTATCCGGGACACTCACTTCCGAGGCTTCCTTTTGCCCAAGGTGGGATTGCACCCACCATTTTGCCCTATCTTCTCCCCAAACTTCTCTTTCTTCCTGTGTCCCTACATTCATCCCTCAACAGTGGACATCCCCTCACTCGCCCCTTCCTCAATCCAGGGTACAGATGTGTTTCCCCTGATTGGTTCAGTCCTCAAAGACCCCAAATACTTCCGCTGCCCAGATGCCTTCTATCCACAACACTTCCTGGATGAGCAGGGCCGCTTCAAGAAGAATGAAGCCTTTGTGCCTTTTTCCTCGGGTAGGTTGCTAAGGTATGGGTTCCCACAGAGAAAATCCTACATATGTCCCTCAACCCATGGTCCATCTAGGCATCTGAGCATAACAGATGTGGCGTCACGTGTTGAGTCCCCTAGCTGAGCATGGTAATGCACAAAGCTTGAGATCCATGGAGTCCTAGTGTGGCACTGCAGGATAATACACTTGACCACAAAGTCAGTTTGAATATAAAGGTTGGTGGTTCAAATCCAGCAGTTGCTATAGCAACTGTAACCCCTTGAGTCACTGTGGAGGGATCTGTGGCCTGGAAAGGTGATCTGGCCCCAACTCCCCTCTCCCATCCTGTTATCCTGTGCACGTGAGTCAACCTATCACCTTCCTCTTTACCTACAGGAAAGAGAGTCTGTCTGGGTGAAGCCATGGCCCGAATGGAACTCTTCCTGTACTTCACCTCAATCCTTCAGAACTTCTCCCTGCGTTCTCTTGTGCCACCAGCCGACATCGACATTACCCCCAAAATCTCTGGATTTGGAAACATTCCCCCTACCTATGAGCTCTGTCTTGTAGCCCACTGAGCGCTCACTATTGGGTTCAGTGGGTAGTGTTGTAAGACAATGTCTGCTATGTGTATTGGTGCAGCCCACCATCCTGTTTCTTTAAATACCCAGAGTTTCCTCTGGAGATTTTGAGACAGGCATTATTACCAATCATGGAACAGAGGTCTCCCAAAGTCACCCTGAAAATGTAGGGTAATAAATCTTGTACATCAGTAAAAATCAAAGCACTGTTCAACAATTCTACAAAATTCTCAAGGATTTAACGTCTCATGATCATCTCCTACTAGGCTTACTGCCACCACCAATTCCTTATCTTTTATTCTCTGTTTTTGTGTGGGCCCATTGTCTCTGATATTGGCCCAACTGTGGGTCACAATCATTTCTCCTTGCATCTACCCTCCCTCAAAAGAGAGAAAAAAGTCAATAACAGGAACTCAAAACTGTTGAATGTAGAAAGTTTACTGTGTGTTGTATGAGACTTCTCTGTAGAACACAGCAAAATGAACCTTTACACTTCTCTGTTTATTATCCATTCTCCAGCCCACATCAGAGATCTCTCGCTGGTTGGGCCATTGTGGGGAATGCCCTCGTCTCAACAATCCTGGTGGGTCATTGCCTATAAAAACCACTTACAGCATCTCTTTTTGGAAACACTTTGCATCCTGGTTGTTTGAACCTCCACTGTTTCCAATTACAAATAATCCTCACTCTCTTTTGAATTTTAGTTCAACTGCCTTCCACTTTCTAAATTCCATTTTCATTTCTATCAACTTCCTCAGGTGATGAAATTGTTACACACTCACAAACATGAACATGCTTTGAAAGTTTGTGGGAAAATTCCATTATCTTTTCATTTCATTTCCATCAACTTTTTGAAATCCCCTCAATTATATGTTACTCATCAAATGCTATGTTTCAAGTACACAACATGAACGGTAACATTTTGAAGTACTTGTAATCCAATGAACAAAACAGACGAAAACTGAGAATTAGTCAGAAGGTAGACAATAAATGAAAACCATGCTAGATAATTAAATCATCATCATATTAGGAAAATAAGGCAGGTAATCAGGAAAAGGAATTCAGGTCAGAAATTTTGTATTTGGTGACTAGGTGATGTCTCACAAGTCTTCCTGGAAGACAATTAAATGAGAGAAACATGCCTGTTTTTTTTTTTTGTTTTTTTTTTTTGTTGTTGTTGTTTTGTGTGTGTGTGTTTTGTTTTTTTCAAAGAATTCACAAAGGGGCTAGTGTGGCTGGAGTCAAGAAGGAATGGAGAGAAGAGAAATAAAAGAGATGAGACCAGGGAGATACTGAGGGGCTAGGTCATGTGGGAACTGGACCACATTTAGGACTTTGGAGTTTACTCTGGGTTGAGGTTGAGTTGGTTATGAGCAGAGAATGACATGTATAGATATGCTTTTCAGAGCTCCCTCTAGTTGCTGTATGGGAAATAGACTGTGAGTGAGGGTAAGAACAAACTTAGAAAGTGCATTTGGAGGCTACTTCAAGTGGTTACTTTAGCTTAGACACACTGGAACCAGTGGAGGTGGGAAGAAGTGGGTGGGTATAGATACAATTGTGAAGACAGGCTTCAGAATATCCTGACATATTGCATGTGGGTGGTGACCCATGTGTGTCAGACGTAGACCTGTGGTACAGCGGGTTTTCTGGCTGACTTTTCACAAGTCACCAGTCCTTTCTCTCAAGAAGCCTTTGGGTGGAATCAAGTCTCCAGATTCTCACTTAGCAACTAAGTGCATTAACCTGTTGCATGACTCCCTTACTCCATTATCCACTAAGGAAGAGCAAATTAAAACCTTGAGGAAATTCTACCATTAACTATAGAATGGCTAACCCCCAAACAACTGGCAGTAGAAGATTCCAGCCAAGATGCAGAGCAATTGAAACCCTCACACAGTGTTGGTGGAAAGTAAGATAATAATCACTCTGGAAGACAGTTTGACAGTTTCATATAAAGCTTGGCACTGTGGGTTAATGCGCTGCACTGTAGTGTCAATTTGAACTGCAGGGTAAGTGGTTCAAGCTCACCAGCTGCTTCTCAGAAAGCCTACACAGGGTCCCTATGAGTCAGAACTGACTTGACGGCACTTCACAACACAACATACACTTTCAAAAAGGCCCTGCAATGACACTTGTAAATCTATATACAGTTGAAAGAACTGTGAACTGCATCAACACAGAAACATGGATGCAAATCTTCAAGTCCACTCGAGTGTTTGTTTCCTGGTGTGGTGCTGTGGGTTAATGCACTGGACTGAAAAGTTGGTTTGAACTGCAAGTCAGCAGTTCAAGGTCACCAGCTGCTCCTCGGAAACCCTACATATAGGGTCACTGTGGGTTGGTACAGACTCAACAGTAATTAACAACAACAACAATAGGGTGCCTAGGTCAACAACAGCAAATAGAAAATGAGAGGTGTTGGTGAGGGTGTGCAGAAATTGGAACCACTCATCTAGTTATGGTGTTGGAGGAGGATATTGAAAGTACCATGGACTGCCAAAATATCCAACAGATCTGTGTTGGAAGAAGTGCAGCCAGAGTGCTCCTTGGAGGCCAGGATGGCCAGACTTCATCTCTCATACTTCTGACATATTGTCGGAAGGACCAGTCACTGGAGAAGTATATCATGTTTGGTAAGATGGAGGGTCAGAGAAAAAGAGGAAGACCCCCAGTGAGATGGATTAGCAAAGTGGCAGCATTCACGGGGCTCAAACATTGCAACAATTGTGAGGTTGTCCCAGGATCAGACAGTGTTTTGGTCTGTTATGCATAGTGTTGCTAGGAGTTGATAAAATTCAATTGCATCTAACAACAACATCTATTGCTGGCAGGAATGTCAAATGGTACAACTGTGGAAAACTATTTGGTGTTTCTTCAATAGTTAAATATAGAAACATCAGTAGCCAATTGCCCTGGGGTCAATCTACTTTATGGTGTCCCCATTGTGTGAGTGGACAATTGTGCGCCATAGGGGTTTGGGGAGTTTTTTGCCACAAAGTGTAATTTTTATTTTCTTTTCTTGCAGGTTAGTTTTACTTCAACCTGTTAAGGGCTCAATTCTTTACATGGGCTTTGGTGGTGGTCGTGGGGCAGCACCAGCAGGTCTAAATCTGGGTGAGGGTGTTTGGTCCTTCAGAGCTTCAGGAGACCGGTTCCTGACTGCCTGCTGTGAATGGCGCAGCTCTCACAATAATGCAGTTTCACATACAGCTTGGGAAGCATGTATGCATCGAAGACACTCGCTTTGGACATATCCCTGATGGCTGCGGCCTCTACTATGTTTCAAATTACAAACTTCTTAATGGCCTTGTCTTTGGGCACGCAGCAGATGCAAGTCATGCAGCAAATAGGCTGCACATGGCCGCAGCCCTTTTTGACATGAATGATTTTTCTCCTTTTCTTTGTCATCTTGGAAGTGAGGAACCTAGAGAGAGAGAGCGCCATAGGGTTTTCAGTGACTCATTTTCCAGAAGTGCATTGTTAGGCCATTCTGCTGAAGGCCCTAGGTATTCAAACAAATACTTGTACATCAATGTTCACAGCAATATTCTTCAAAATAGGAAAATAACCCAAGTTATCATCAACTAAAGAATACAGTAACAAAATGTGATCGAGCCATACAATGGAATGTGATTCAGCTAGGCAAAAAAAGAATGAAGTACTGCTACATGTTCAGACATAGAGGAGCTTCAAAACATTACACTACCTGAAAGAAGCCAAACCGGAAGGTCACACACTGTATGATCCATTTATGTGAAACATCAGGTAGATCCATAGGCACAGGGAGGGTCTTAATTGGTACCAAAGGTTGGCAGACAGAGTGGAAGAATAGAACAGTTGAATGGGTTTAAATTTCGTGGAGGTGAGGAAGACATTTTAGAAAGGTAGATGAGGAAACTGAGAGTTGATTAAATACCACTGAATTGTCCAATTTGAAACGTTTCATTTCCTGTTACATGGGTTTTTCCTCAATAAAAAAGGAACTTCCAGCATACATTGCACAGTGGATGAAGAAATCTTTATGAATGAAGTGAGACTCAAAGGTTTAATACTCTATGGGTCCAACTACGAAACACATTTGGAAGTGGCAAAGCAGTTGGAGCTTAGTGAGGATAGGATTTGACTACAAATCAGCGATTTGACCTGGATTATGGTCGTGATGCCTTGTCTCTGTGTATATGTCAAAAACTCTTGAAACTGCAGGCCAAGAGATGAATCTAATTGTGTTTAAATTTCAAAATGATTTAAAATTGAAAAACTCCATATATTTTTCACAGAATATTTTGAATGGACAATTGTTGCTCTAGATCATTCTCCTGGAGAGAATTATCTTAAGTTTATTAACTTTTCAAATAAGAAAGCTGAAGATGAGACATCTCAGGTAATGTCACACAGTGAGTAAGTAATAGAACCAGGATTTGAACTCAATTTACTGACTCCAGAGTGTCTACTGTGCTATTTTTGTTGTTACTTTTAATAGAACAGTAACACTGTTGGTGTACAAACTCAAAACTTCATGGCCAACCTTCCTTCCTACCTTTCTAAAACATATACACAGCACATGTGCTCCTGCATTCCTATTTAGGTAGACTCCCTTACAGGATTAATCATACATCCATTGTTAGCTACTCAGATTCTTCGATTCCAAGTTGTCTCGCATCCATCCATTCTCACCCATCTATCCATCCATCCAAACATCTCTCTCTCCTCTTAACTTCCACCTATTCACCTTTTAATTTATTCATGCTTCCACCCAATGATACCGTCATTCATTATTCTTTCTGCACAAACATTCAGATATCTATTCTCTCACTTAAGTCCCACATTTGAAAGACGTACAGGGAGGGAACCTTAGTCTCTGCATCTAGACTGGGAAAAAGGAAAGGGATTCTGGGAACCAGAATCTGCAGCTTTCATTATGCATTCCCTTCAGGATCCAGAACAGAGTTAGAAACAAAGGGAGGGAAGGCAATTTCTTGACACTGAGATCCTGGCAGGTGTAGCTATGGCCAATGGAGAACGATGGAAGATTCTCCGCCACTTCTCCCTGACCATCCTCCGGGATTTTGGGATGTGAAAGCAAAGCATTGAGGAGCGGATCCAGGAGGAGGCCGGCTACCTATTGGAGAGTTTACGGAAGACCAAAGGTATGGGGGACTCAGAGGGGATAGTTACAATAAACTGAATGGTGGTAGAGAGCTCAATCTAGAAAAGATAGGTCTTGGTGAGAGGAACCTCTGCGATGGGAGTAGAAAAGAAAAGATGGATTTAGGATTCACAGATTTGGGATTCCAATCAGACTGAATGTTAAAACTTAACATAAAAGATTGCAAAATGTTCTTGTCCAAAGAATGCCAATCTCAGTTGATCATAGGGAGTCCATGAACCCCTGAGTTATTTTGCAAATTTGGTGAGACTTGAGTAGTATTTTTTTAATGCATAATTAAATTTTTATTATATTTTCAAAGGAGTACATTCTTCATCCAATGGCCAGAAACCACTGGGTTCTAGAGATAAAAGACACAGAAGCTAAGAAAGCAAAGATAAGAGATGTTGTATGAATCTAGGAGTATTGGAAGTTGTCAATTGAAAAGGAACACATAAATATCAATATCCTAAGCATTAGTGAGCTGAAATGGACTGCTATTGGCCATTTTGAATCTCACAACCACATGATTTACTTTCCCGGGAATGACAAACTGAAGAGGAATGGTGTCATATTCATCATCAAAAAGAATGTATCAAGATGTGTCTTGAAGTACAAAGTTGTCTGTGATATTATAATATCCATAAACCTACAAGAAAAATCAGTTAATACCACTATTACTCAAATTGACAGTACCAAAGACCAATAATGATAAAAGTGAAGAATCCTACCAACTTCTTCAGTCTGAATATGATCAAACATGCA